TTAACGACTAAATTTACATTTTATCACTTACTACTAAGAGAGATGAGTATTAACCATAATAAGGTTACCTTATAATATATTTTTAGATTAAGGTGACCATATTACAAATATATATATCCGACGTTTCCGACCCCACCCAAAACAGCTCCATTGCATACAAACCAGGAGTAATTAAATTATTAACACTGGAGCATGCGCCAGCTAAGAACCAAATATTTGGATAGCTGTATGCAAATTGTTCATACTGCAGCATATCATCATGTATATCTGAAACTCCTCCGTAAAATGATAATCCCTCGTCGTTTCAGTCACTAAAAGCGCTGTGTGTTGGCACATGTTGTCTGAAGTTGCGATGTCTTTCTCTTTCCAAGTCTGAGTCTTCGGCTACATGCCTGCTATATGAATTGAATTTGTTACTTGGATGTATATTCTCCGGGCGTTATGTCAATCATTTCATCGTCGTCTGTTGTATTTAATGATGTAGTAGGTGCCACACCGAGTATGAGTACTCCAGATGAGGCCAGCGGATGATCTTGCAAATTTACGTCACTTCCTGTTTGGCCGTTTACCCTCTTCAGTACAGAGAGGTACCCAGTTAAACTAGTGTGTCGGATAGTGGCGGATGGTCCACAATCGAAGAAAAAACGACCGAATGCTAAAACAGTTACAGACTTTCCCAGACTTCCAACAATTCAACTGCCTAATCCAAAATATGTTGTTGTTGCCTCTACCAACGATCTAAAACCTTTGTCTGAGTTCTGTTGCTTTGCTGTGCAAAAAACTCTACACGTTATAAGTAAAGACATTATATCGATTTCTGAATTAAGAGATGGTAACCTCTTGTTGCTAGTCAAAGACATGGCTACTGCTTAAAAGTTTATATCAGCTAAAGATCTCTTGACGATTTGCCCAATCAAATGTTTTCTTCATAAGCAATTGAACACAACAAAAGGAACTGTATACGCGCCCTATTTAAATAAAATCTCAGAAGAAGAAATAGTTAATGAGCTGAGTGCGCAGGGTGTTGTGGAATGCTACAAGTTCCCTAAAATGATTAAAGGCAAGTCCCATCTCAGTGGAGTGGTTTTGCTGTCTTTTAACACATTTAATTTGCTCGAAAAAATTGAAATCTCTTTACGTTCCGTTGATGTGCGTGAGTATATACCAAACCCAATGCGTTGCAAATCGTGCCAGGTTCTTGGACATACTGCCAAAAGATGCCAACACTCTCCAGCTTGTGTTAATTGTGGTTTGCCTCCTCATGCCGCTTTTGACTGTTCGCGTACATATTGTGCTAATTGTTCAGAACAGCACCCAGCTTCTAACGAGTGCACAAATTTTATTCAACAAAAAGAGATATTAAAAATTAAAACGAAAAATAAATGTACAATGCGGGAAGCAAAACAACTATATAAGGCACTACCTTCAGTCGACATCTCCAGCAACAGTTTCTGTTCAGTGGTTTCATCTGGCACCAATAAGACACTGCAACCTACTAACGTTTCAAATAATACAATTACTGCAACTCTCTCTACAAGCTCTCCAGTTAAAGCACCAACTTCAAAAGTGCAATCAAAGACATAATAAATAACAATAACAAAAATATTAACTCATTCTCTGCTTCGAGCTTACGTTCTTCTTCCATCAATTCTTCCAGTAAAAGCAGAATTAATACTAATAACAATGAAAATAAAAAACCAAATTTGGAACCGGTTTCTTGTTCAACTATTGGTACTCACAAAATTGCAGTCTTAGAAAAACCTATCTCTTTAACACTTGATCTTAAACCAAATACATTGTGACCGAAAGGTTTTCGGAAGTTCTCATTTAAAATTCGCGCGCTGTATATTTTTCGATATTTTAAGT